TAATTTTTGTTTTTACAATATAAATTTATGACAAAAAAATATTTATTATACAATTAACTTATATTTTAAAAATACAAAATAAAAATACTTATTTGATGAAAAGAGTTTTTAAGTTAATAGCAAACTTTTATTTAGGTTGTTAACAATCAAAATTTCTCTAAACCTATAGTAGAAATTTTTTTAATACATCTAATAATAATAAATTATATAAAAAAAGATAAACTTCTCTTTTTTCTAAATCTCGACCCACTAAACTCAAAATTCAATTTTGAGATATTCAGTTTGAAATTTTAAACTTATAATCATTGAACTACTCCATTAGGGGATGGTGTTAAAATTTTGTTTGATTCTAGAGATACTCATTTTCAATTTCTGGGTGTTTTAATTTATTATTTCACTTTGTTTAAACTAGTTAGCATTTTGAAGTCTAAAGCCATCGTATCAGTAGAGATGATGCTAACCTTCAATTTTTTTTAAATATATATATTGAAAAGTGTCTATGATAGATTTGGAGTGTCTGACCATGAGTAGGGGTAGATTTGATGGCATTCACACAGGATGCTGGGCAAACATTCAGTCATTTTCTTTTGGATCTATATGGTGTTATTATTGTCTGTATTTTTTTGTTTTGACTTTCGTTTGTGCGCAATTGTATGTTTTATGTACGCATGTCCTTAATTTATTGTGATAAGACACTTCTTGATATTGTAAATGGTGGATCGCTTTATCTTAATTATAATTAACTTAATTACTTCTAAAAAAAAAGAAAAAGAAAAAGAAAAAGTAGCATCATATATAGCATGAATTTTCATTTTCTTTGTGAGTAAGTCTATAGAGAGACGTCTGGGGCAAGAGTGGTCACCTGTCTACCTAAGTGCGGCATTTTACAACTGTTAACCACTATTCATTACTTATTATTATTATTTATTATCGGTTATTTACTATTTATCATCTCTTATCAATTAAATTTTAATTATTGTATCAAGTAATCTTGAAATCTTTTTTATTTTTATTTTTTTTGATAGAGCAATCTTGAAATCTTAAATGAGAATAACAGCCCAAGAAAGTAAAGTGGTTGATCAAGAACACTCAAATCAACTTGACAAGGTTTAGATGTTTCCCATAATATCAAACCAGCATACAACAAAAACGAGTTTTTAAAGCACAACATAGATTAGAAAAATACAAAATAAAAAACCTTATTTGATTAAAAGAGATTAAAAGAGTTCGTAAGTTAATCGCAAACTTTGATTTAGGTTGTTAACAGCCAAGGTTCTCTAAAGCTATTGTAGGACTTTTTTTAGTACATTTGAAAAAAATGAGTTATATAAAAGAAAATAGACTTCTCATTTTTTAAATTTTTATAGCAAAATATCCAAATTCACTTTTAAAGTATAGTAGTAGGGATAGATCTACCCCAAACAAAAAAAAAAAAAAGAGACAAATCCATCCATGAAGTTTACGATTTTGATAAATCATCCCAAATTTAACGTGTGGTGTTATCTGACGTTAGTAATCCGTTAATTTATTATGTTGTTAATAACGAATTGCTAATATCAGATGTTGTCAAATTAACAAGTTGTTGACGTTAGATGATGTCATACGTTAAATTTAGAGTAATTTGTTCAAGTTGAAAACTTTGTAAACGGATTTATCTCTGTTTTTTGTTCGGGATTGGATCCATCCCTACTACTATACTTTGGGGATGAATTTGAGTATTTTACTAATCTCTATCCACTCGAGTCAAAATTCAATTTGAGATATTCAGTTTGAAATCTTAAACTCCACTGGGGGATATTGTAAAAATTTTGTTGGATTCTATAGATACTCATTTTCAATTTCTGGGTGTTTTAATTTATTAATTCTCTTTGTTTAAACTAGTTAGCATTTTGAAGTCTAAGGCCATCGTATGAGTAGAGATGATGCTAACCTTCAACTTTTTTTAAAAAAATATATACATACTGAAAAGTGTCTATCATGGATTTGGAGTGTCTGGCCATGAGCAGGAGTAGATTTGATAGCTTTCACATAGGTTGCTGGGCAAATAATTCACTAATTTTCTTTTGGTTTTCATATGGTGTTATTATTATCTGTATTTTTTTGTTTTTACTTTCGTTTGTGCTCAATTGCATGTTTTATGTACGCACGTCCTTAATTTATTTGATAAGACACTTCTTGATGTTGTAAATGCTGGATCGCTTTATCTTAATTATAATTAACTTAATTACTTTAAAAGAAAAAAAAGAAAAGAAAAAGGAAAAGCAGCATCATAGCATGGATTTTCATTTTCTTTGTGAGTAAGCCTATGGAGAGACGTCGGCGGCAAGAGTGGTCACCTGTCCACCTAAGGGCGGCATTTTATAGCCGTTTGTTTTGTTTTGCTTTGTTTTGTTTTGTTTTGTTTTTTTTTTTTGTTTTGTTTTTTTTTCTCTTTTTAAGTTTGACTAGTTTGGTTAAATACAAGTCACCAAAGTTAAAATTAAAAATTTATTAAAAATTATTGTTAGCAGCTAATTACTATTAATTAGTCACTATTATCATCCGTTATTTGTTAAATACTATCATCCGTTATTTACTATTTATTATTCTTATTCACTATCCACTTAATTTTAATCATTATATCAAATAATTCTAAAATTTAGAATGAGAATAACAACCCAAGAAAGTAAAGATGTTGGTCAAGAATACTTAAATCAACTCGACAAGGTTTAGATGTTTCCCACAATATCAAACCAACATACAATAGAAATGAATTTTTAAAGCACAACACAGATCAAAGGCACTAGACACATCAAAGCCTTC